GAAGTAAGTGCCCCCAATCCCTGCCTCCAACTCCTCACTATCTTTCCAGCCATGCATTCATCTGTTTTATCTTCCTACTTCGGTACTCATGCTTTTGATGGCACATCCTGTTTTCATCTTCAAAATGTCAGGTGCCCCCCTTCCTATCTCAGCAGACCAAACCAGATCATTTCGAGTCACGGAAACAGACTCTTCAGTCCAATCAGTTCACGCCAACCGTAATCCCAAATTAAACTAGTCCCACCTGCCTGCACTTGGCCAATATTCATCCAAATTTTCATATTCATGTACTTGTCCAAATGTCTTTTAAATGTTGTAACTGTACCCGCATCGACTATTTCCTCTGGAAGTTCATTCCACACACAAACCACTCTCTGGGTAAAAAAGTTGCCCATCATGTCATTTTTACATCTTTCTTCTCTCACCTTAAATATATGCTGCCTAGTCTTGAAACCCCCGCCTTAAAGAAAAGATACCTGCCATTTACCTTATCTACACCCCTCATGATTTTATAAACTTCTACAAGGTCACCCCTCAACCTCCTATGTTCCAGTCTATCCTGCTTCTCCTTATAACTGAAACTCTCCATTCCCAGCAATATCCTGTTTAATCTCTTTTGAATCCCCTCCAGCTTAATAATATCCTTCCTATAACAGGGCAACTAGAATTGGACACAGTACGCCAGAAGAGGCCTTACCAATGTCCTAAGCTATCTCAACATAAAATATTTATTTATCTTGTGTTTGCGGGACCTTGAAGCAAATACTGACGGCTACATTACATTAGTAACTAAAGTCGAAAGTACTTCAGTAGTGTTGAAGTTCTTCGGGTTGTTCTGAAGCTGAGAAACCACTAGATCAATTTCTTTGTCAGTGCCCAAGAGCAAGTTTGTGGAAGGTGGCAGATGCTGACAAAATATGAAAGGATTCTGGTTTAACACAAATGATCAATTTTAATTAATCTGACTAATAAAGGACGAGCATATGATTCAATTTTAGCTACTGAGCTTACTTTGAAGTACTATAATATCTCAACTTCTTGCTACAAGTGCTATACTAGATTTGCCTTGATTAAATAAATAAAAGATGGGTCAATGAGATGGCATGTTGTTACTGTGGCCATTTAAAAGGTTCTCACTGGCTCCCATTAAGTGAAATATTTGCCAGTTTAGATCGTGTGATGCAGAATACACAGGGTCAGCTAAATGACTCAGTCAGGAAGCCACCAGCTCGTGGTAAATTTCATTAGTGACAGAAATCAAAATTTTTCCCTATCACGCACACTGATCAGAATATTTATAGATACAGAAAGCTCAAGTTAAAAAGAAGTACGGCTTGGTTTTTAAACAAATGGTGCAACAGGGTTCCAGAGATGTTCCCTGTTCCACTTCTGTAAATGCTAGGCACTGATGTCCTTTTATTATCCATATTTAATTTGAAGTGTTTACTATTGAACATGCCCACACAATTTCTGGTTTTAGTTAAGTTGCAACCAGCCAACATAGGAAGTGACAAAATAGACCTGTAACCCAACCCTCAAACTGCTTTCACTGCGCAAGCAATGAAAATTATTGACACATATTTAGTATTGGAAATAGAAAATTATCACCCTGGGAAGCCTACACTTTTACACAAATATTGTTGATAAAATGTTGTTTTGGTTTTTAAGACTTCAGTGAGTGGAGTTTCCGTTGCCGATGGTACTAAAATTGAATCAATTCATTTCAGAATGGACAGAAATGAGACAAACGTTATGAAAAAGCTCGTATTCAAAATGATGAAGTCACATAGTTGGTGGTGCAAAATAGGGTAGCCAGCCCTCCAGGACTAGACTCTCAACAAGTTAATGATTAATCCCAAGGCGCTGCTGCCAGTGAACCACGAGAAAGGTTATAGGCGCATTTGAAAAAAAAACGCTGTATTTTTAATATATGGAAATGGTCAAAGAAAATTAGAATAGAGGCTAAAGGCTGTTGGATTGAAATGAAAGGCAGGTAGTGGTAGCTGGTCATATGACAGAGTCTCCATTCAGCTGGAGCTAACAACTCAAGTGAAAATGGTTTCCACTTCACAGCAACGTATTATTGACAGTACAACTCCACAGAAGGTAAAAGTGTTCAAAGTTCCTCATTACACCCATGGGTACTTAGATAATAAGAAGGGGATAGTGGCGTAGGGAATTGTAATATCTTTGGAGAGGGTGAGTTTGTCACCCACACTCACTTGTAGCCAGTCATGGTAAAACAAATAAAACCCAGTTAAGAACAATTCTGTAGCTTCTAGCCACAAAGCAACCCAAGAAACACTTAGATCATAGAACAGTACAGCACAGGAATGGACCCTTCAGCCCACAATGTTGAAACATTGATGTCAAATTAAGCTAACCCTTTCTGCCTGCCCTTGATCCATATCCCTTCATTCCTTGCATACTCATGTGCTAATCTAAAAGCCCCTTAAACACCCCTATCTTATCTACCTCCACCACTATCCCTGGTAACATGTTCCAGAATCCCACCATACACTGTATTTAAAAAAAAAACTTGCCCCTCACATCTCCATTGAACCATCCCCTCATCACCTTAAATGCACACAAATGTTAGAATTTGCAGATGATGCCAACCCAGCAGGTCAGTGAAATTTGGAAGCACCTCAATTTACCAAATGTGTGGATATGCTATATAAAATGGGCTGAACAATGAAAAATGAAATTTCACAAAGACAAATGTAAAGCATAGGAACTTCAGTAATAAGAACAGAATTAGACATTTGAGCCTTCAAGCCTGCCCTATCATTCAATAAGATCATGAACAATCGCCAACTTCGGAGACTTTCATTTAAGTTCCCCGTATCCCTCAATTCCCCAAGATACAAAAACCTGGTCTATCTCAGTCTTAAAACATAATCAAACCTCTGGAGTAGAGAATTTCACGACCTTTTCAGTGAAGAAATTTCTCATCTAATTCTTAAAGAAATTGTCCCCTCATTCTCCAACCTTGTACTTGTGTTCTGGACTTCCCAGTCAGGGGAAACAATATCCTCATATCCATGTTCTTAAGCCTCTTCTTGTACATTTCAATGAAATCACCTCTCATTCTTCTAAAGCCTGATGAATATATGTTGAATTTAGTCAGCCACTTATCACATATCAACACCTGATTCCATAGATTGGTTTAACAAACCTTCACTGTACCACATACCATACAAATAGATTGCTCCTTAAAATATGAAAACTTTACACAACACTATAGATGTGGTCGCAAAACCTGATTCTGTTGCAGCAAGACTTCCTTACTCTTGCATTCTAAGTCCTTTGCAATAAAGGCTGACATGCAATTTGTCTTCCTATTCGCTCATTGTATCTACATGCGAATGTACTACGTTCCCTGTCAGAGGACACCCAAGCCCCTCGGAACATCAACAATTAAAGGTTTAAAAAGAAGCTTATCTTTCTATTTTTCCACCAAAGTGAACAACTGCACATTTTCCCCCATATTATATTCTGTCTGTCACTTTCTTGTCTACTCATTTAAGCAGTGGGAAGGACACAAAGAGGCTGCAATATACAAACAGGTTAAAATATACCTTAGTCTCAATAAACCCTTACACTCTACTCTTCAAACTTATTAATACAAAATGTAAATAACTGAAACCCCAGCACTGATTGTCATGACACTCCATTAGTTAGAACCTGCCAACTTGAAAATACCTACTCCGTCCCTCAACCTCTTGGTTAACAGGTAATTATCCATTTATCTATCTATACTAATATGCTACTCCCAACTGCATCAGCCCTTATCTCATTTATTAATTTATGTGGAATCTCATCAAATGCTTGTGGAAATCCAAGTCTTCTGGTTTTCCTTTATTTTATTAGTTACACTCTTGTAGGACTCTTACCATTTGTCAAACACAATCTCTCATTTTGGAAAATCACTTTGACCTTGCCTGGTCATACTTTGACTTTCTAAGTGCATTGTTAACACTTGCTTAACAATTGATTCCAACTAATCACGTCCAATTGACATCAGGCTAACTGGTCCATCACTGGGTTTCTCTTTCCTTTCTATAGCAATGCCAGATTTGCTAACCGCCAATTCCAATCTGCTGTAACCATTCCAGAATCCAGGAAATTTTGGAAAATCACAACCAATACATCCATTTTCTCTGCAACTCTGTTTTAGAGCCCTAGGATATAGGTATCAGGTCTTGGGAATTGGCTGCATTTTAGACCTTTAAAAGAAAGAAAGGATAGATGATTTACATGCACTATGAATAAAAACAGCCGAGAGACACAGAGAGGCAGAGACAGACACAGACACAGAGAGGTAGAGAGAGAAAGAGAGAAAAAGTGGAAGGAGCACATAGACACTGTCTTTGAATTCTTGGTTAAGACTTTATTGGTTATGCTGCTTAATTTCTAGCTCTAGAACAGTGCAGAAAAGTCACAAAAATCCCCATGAATCCGAGCAATGAAGTAGGATAGGAAAAAAAATTGAATCGTTCGGCTGAGAAGAGAAGCATCCAAATGATGATTTTATAGGCACACTGGTTTGGAAAATAAAAATCTTAGATATAACTTTAAATTGAAACATAAAAGGATAGAATTAGAGGATGAAGTACCTTTTCTAGTTTAAACCTACAAAAGGACAGATATAGTGAAGTTCTTCACATCAATACTGGAAAAAGCTTCCAGGTAGGGCAGTGGAGTCAAAAGTTCAAAACCATTGGTTGTATAAATAGAGCGCATGGTTTGGCTGGGGTCTGGAACGGTCGGGTAGATGAGCGAATTGGATCGACTGAAATCCATTATTAATTTATTTACTACTTTCTTCCTGTGGATAGTAGTACAAGAGAGAATATACAATGTCCAGGATTCCAGTGCAACTGTATGTTTTTCATGTACTTGTGCTTTTTACCAAAGAGATATACAATCTGCTGCGGTTACAAAAGTGCAATCAAGGTCAAGGAAGTTGCTTAAAATGATAAATCTGGGCTACTCACGCTGACGTCCTCTTCGTGCCATCTTGTACAGAAGACAACAAGGGCAGCATAAACAGATCACAAGTGAGAAGAGGAAAATCCCAAAGAAGCTCACTCCAATTGCAACAACAGAGCTAAAACTGAAAGAGAAGAAAAACACCGCAGGTTAGCAGAAGAACTGTGAGCAATGAGCTATTAAGGACATCATTTTTATACATAGATCACTCTCGTACTCATGATTAAAAGTTGTAACAGGAGTAAAAATGTTAAAATATTTATAGATTTAGAACATCAGGATTTGAAACAGTTGTTTTATGGGATACGGACATCACTGGCAAAGCAACAATTTGTTGTCCATACCTTATTGTCCTTGATCTGAATGGCTCACTTGGCCATTTCAGAGGGCATTTAAGAGACAACCGTATCACTGTAAATCTGGTGTCACAGGTAAACCAGACGGTTTCGGACAGCAGATTTCCCCTTGCCCAAAAGCACAATAAATGAACTAGATGGACCGTTACAACAATCACAGTCGCTATCATTGAAACTAGCTTTCTAATTACACTTCTTTAAAAAAAAAGGCTGAATTTAAATTCCACTGTGTGATGTAGTGTGATATGAACCCTGGCCCCTGCTGCAGTAGTCTGAGCCACTGGTTTACTAATCCAGCGACATTACCACCATGATGTGCCATCATCCTGTAAAGTATGGTTATATACGGTGTGAGCAGGATGATGACTTTGTGCCAATGCAGATTATTGCTGAAAACACACTTAATCTGCTTTTATTTCCTGAAAAGATAAAGTTACCGTTGATTTTTTAGCTCAGAGAAAGCTTGAAATAATATTATTTAATCCTGAACATATGCATTACACAGATGACATTCTTATACTATATTCCCACATGGGATACTGTACTGGCATTAGATACTCAACAATTTTCTCAAAAGCAGAGGAGCAGAGATCCAGTGAAATTACCACTTGCACAGGTGAATCAACTCTTCCCTCAAACACCAGCATTTATTACTCCCAGGATTCAATATCATTGCAAAAAGGCACTAATATTCTAAATAAATAACCCTGTAAATTAATTGGTCAGACCAAGATAACCCATTTTACGTCAACTTGGCATCTCAAAATCCATTTATTTTTAAGGCTGAATAGATGATAATCTGAAAAAGGCAAATGTGGATACCACTTGTTCTTTAAAAAGGCTATTAGTTCCTTTCTCCATGGTACCAGGATGAATGGATTGAAGGACCTCATGCTGCATACGATCCTGGATGTGGTTAAGGCTGCTATCCACATGTCTAACATGAGCAGGATTTCAGATAGGGTTGCCTCTGCTTTGTGCTACCGTCAGCATTAGCGTTGCCAACTGCTATTAAATCTGTTTCTGGCGATTTCCTCTGAAGACTTGCCCAATACTTGAGCCATTAGTCCACCAAAACATTCATCTTTATGATAGGAGACAATGACGCATTGGTAACATCACTAATCTAGTGACCCAGAACCCTAGGCTAATGTTCTGGGGATATCTGTGCCTGTACAGCTCGTAAACAAAGCTTTTCACTGCATTTTAGTACACGTGACAGTAGAATTAAAATCAAAAATCAAACTTTTTAATTCTAGATCTTGTTAAATTTCAAAAAGTTTAATTTAATGGTAATTATGTAATCACTGCTGGTCATAAAATCCATCTGATTCATTAATGATCTTTAGACAAAGATCCAAAGCAATATGATTGGACTTTTATCTGCCCTCTGAAATGACCCTAATAAGCCACCCAGTTGCCTCATACTGCTATGATTTGATTTCCTGTATTGTTGTCACATGTACCAAGATAGAGTGAAAAGTATTTTTTTTGTGTGCCACCCAACCAAATCATAGCTTACACAAGTACAAAGGGGTACTACAATAGGATGCAGAATATAGCGTTACAGAGAATGGGCAGAGAAAAGTCAACTCTAATTTTGAGAGGTCCATTTAAAAACCTGAAAACGCAGGGAAGAAGCTGCTCTTGAATCTGTTGGTACGTGTTTTCAAACTTTTGTATCTTCTGCCCAATGGAAGACAGTATAACTGGGGTGGAAGGTGTCTTTGATTATGCTGGCTGCTTCCCCAAGGCAACTGGAAATAAAGACAGAGTCATTGGAAGGAAGGTTAGTTTGCCTGATGGACTGGGCTGTGTTCATGACTTTCTGTAATACGTTGTGGTCTTGCGCACAGCAACTGCCCTACCAAGCTGTGATGCATATAGATGGGACACTTTCTATGGCTTATCTATAAAAATTAGTAAGAGTGATTGTGGACATGCCAAATTTCCTTAGCCTTCTGAGGAAGTAGAGACACTGGTGTGCTTTCTTGACTGTAGTCGATGTGGATGGACCAGGGTAGATTGTTGGTGATACTTACTGTTAGGAATTTGAAGCTCTCAACCACCTCCACTCAGAACCAGTGATACAGGCAAGGGCGTGTCAGAGTCTTCCTGAAGTTGATAACTAGATCCTTGATTTTGCTGACATTGAGGGAAAGATTGCTGTCTTTACACCATGCCACTGAGCAGTCTATTTCTTTCCTGTACTCTGTCTAGTTGTTGTTTGAGATCTGAACCACTACGGTGGTGTCATCAGCAAATTTCTAAATGGAGTCAGAGCTGAATTTGGTCACGCAGCTTTGAGTGTATAAGGAGTATCGTAAGAGCAGGTACACAACGTTGCGGGCCATTGGTGTCGAGGATTATCGTGGAGGAGGTGTTGTTGCCTATCCTTACTGATTGCAATCTGTGGGTCCTCACGTTGGAATAACGAAAGTCATAGAGTCACAAAGCATAGAAACGGACTCTTCCATCCAACCAGTTCCTACTGACTATAATCCCAAACTAAACTAGTCACACGTGCCTGCGCTTGGCACATATCCCTCCAAACACTTCTTATTCATGTACTTACCAAAATTTCTTTTGAATGCTGAAACTGTACCCACACCTGCCACTTCCTTTGGAAGTTCATTCCACCCGTGAACCACCACGTGACAATAAAGGATGTTCTAATTCTGTTTCAAAAATATTGCCCTTCCTGTCCTTTTTAAAATCTTTCTCTTCTCACCTTAAAAATATGCCCCCATGTCTTGAAATCCCCAACCCTGGGGAAAAGATACCTGCCATTCATCTTATCTATACCCCTCATGATTTTATAAATCTTTGCAAGATTGCCCCCCACTAACCTCCAATGCTCCAGTGAGCAAAGTCCCAGCCTATCCAGCCTCTCCTTATAATTCAAGCCTGCCAATCCCAGCAACATCCTCATAAATCTTTTCTGAACCCTCTCAGATAATATTATCCTTCCTCTAACAGGGCAACTAGAACTGGACACAGTACTCCAGAACAGGCCTCACCAACATCCTATACAACCTCAACATGACTTCCCAACTGCTATATTTATAGGTCTGAGCAATCAAGGCAAGCGTGCTAAACACCTTCTTAACCATCGTCTACATGTGATGCAAACTTCAAGGATTTATGTTCCTGAAACCACAGGTCTCTTTGTTCTACAACACTACCCAAGGCTCTACTTTTAAATGATTAAGTCCTGCGTTGTTTGTTTTACCAAAATGCAATACCTTGCATTTATCCAAAATTAAACTCCATCTGCCACTCCTCAGCCCATTGACCCAATTGATCAAGATCCTGTTGTACTCTTAGATAACCTTCTTCAGTGTCTACTACACCACCAATTTTGATGTCATCTGCAAATTTCTTAACCATGCCTCCTAGATTCACATCCAAATCATTTATATAAATGACAAACAACAGTGGGTCCGGCACCGTTCCCCATGGAACGCTGTCACCAGCTGGTCCATGTGCAATCTGAGTGTATGGCCTGGGACTCCATCCAGCCAGTTGCTTTCCGTGGGTTCACTCTCAATAGATCACCGCTTTCCTATACCAATTGGAAAGCAAAAAGACTCAATACCCAAGGAGCTGAGATTTGATAGCCAAGTAACTTCCCCTATGGAAGTAGATTATCTCGTCACAACCATATTATGGTTTGAGAGAGTTTGCATTGGGAAACTGACAGCCACATTTACAACATTACAAAAGTAACAGCACTTCAAATTAACTCTTTGGTTATAAAGTGTTTCGGGATGTCATGGACATTGCAGATACTATTGAAATGCAACTCTTTGCTTTCATTGTACAACTAGAGCCTTATTCACATCTTCCTTTCTGGGGTGTACACAAAGTGAAAGGATTACTGGTCCATTGAAATTACAAGGCAGTAGCTGGGAGCCTCTCTGTTCTACCACAGTCTGTGCCTGGAAAGACTGCAGACAACATCAAGAACAGAAAGGGAATAAGACAGCGATGACACATAATCCAGTGCTTTCTAAATCATGACAACATTTTGGACTCTGTGGACTTCTCCAAAGTTGAGGGAAGGCAGCATTTTTGTCTAACCCCTGTGTTTGTTGCATCTGTTGCCATTTGACACACCAAATCTATTGGAGCTGTTACAATTTGACTACATGACCATGCCAAAACTGGAGCTGTGTTGTTTGACAGTGTATGCTGTAGTGCAAGTATGGGTTGTCCTAACTCTGTCAAGATTCCCTATGCAAATCACGGCTTTTGTTAATTAAATTGTAATGCTGCAGTGTCGACTTAGACAATTTGAGAACTTAATGAAACATCTTTTATAATTATAAATCAAAGTCACCAGCACGAAGCAAACAGGTGACACACACATTCTCCATCACAGTGACACCAAACTGCTGTAGACACAACACATTTCAGCAATTTGCCTACACTTTATTGATGACAGAAGAAGTGGTTGACACAGACAACATTTAGAAGACATGTGGATAAATTCAGGAATGGGAAAGCTTTAGAGGGATATAGGCCAAACGCAGGCAAGTGGGACGAGTTTAGTTTGGGGACACGGTTGGTGTGGATTGGTTGTGCCAAAGGGTCTGTTTCTGTGCTGTATGGAAACAAAGAAGGAAATAGGAAAATTATTTTTGGATGCAAAGGAGCACAGACTCACTGGGGCTGGATAGTTCCAGATTCTCACCCTCCCCTACCCCACCCCACTCCACTCCACTCCACTGGTCCTCAGCCAGAGACTCCAGCAGCACAAACTGCT